TGCAAAAAAAAAAAAAAAAAGAGAAAAGAAAATTCCAACTACATGAAAATTAAAAACTTCTGCATGGCCAAAAGCAAACCAAATTAAAACACACACACAGACACACACACACACACACACACAAACAACCTAAGTAAAATCAGTAAGTAAATAACACAATGAGAAATATGTGTAACTCATATTGGAAATAAAGAGTTGATTCCCCCGGTATATCAATCTGCTTCTGCAAACTGATTAAATTGGTAAGTCAAAAGATTAACAAATCCATAGGAAAATGAGCACAAATATGGACAGTTTACGGGACATATGCTTGGTTCTTAAACATATGAAAATATGCTTAATGTTAATCATAGTAAGAAATATGTATATTAAAACCATATTAATTTGCTTAAAAATTTATCAGAAAAGTCTAAAGTGTACAACCCTGTTGATTACCTCTGAAATACATTCTTGGCTCTCTCACACATTGCTCCTGGGACATCAACTGGCAGGTCCCTTGCCAGAAGTGATCTGGCAACATCTGTCCCATGAGAGATTTAGAGATGTATTTGCCACTTTTTTACTTTTTTCTTTTTTCCTTTTGATTTTCACTACTGAGGGTTGAACCCACGGTGCACTGAGCTACATCTCCAGACCTTTTCAATTTTTGACACAGGGTCTCATTATGTCACTGCTTAGGCTTCCTTCAAACTTTCAATGTTCTTGCCTCCTAAGTAGCTGGGATTAAAGGTGCACAACCAGGGGCCGGGGATTTAGCTTAGTGGTTCTGCCGCCTGCCTCGCAAGCGGAAGGACTGGAGTTCGATCCCCGGTACCAAAAAAAAAGAAAGAAAAGGTGTGCACCCACACACCCAGATGCATTTCCACTTTGACTCAGTGGCTCCACTTTTGTTATTTACCCTATGCCTAAGCATACTCATGTGCTCAATGAAGAATTGCAAAGTTACCCATGCTAGCATTGTGTGAAAGCAAAAAAATTGCCAATTTAAATGTCCAGCTATAGAGATTGCTCTGGCATATTGTTGATGGCAAACACTGGTAAGGAAGAATGGAGAATGTGTCGTGTGCCATGGTGAAAAGCTCTCTAAGACACACCTGTAATGAGGGAGGGAACACTATATTGTGTACCATCAACCAAGCAGCAAAAGAATTAGGCGTGGGGAAGAATATATTCTATTTGCTTCTATGTGAAAAAAAAAATGTTTCAAAGGATGCCAAACAAATTCACAGTGGCTACATCTCTAGGGGAGGGTAGGAACTGGGAGGTAGGAAGGGACACTTTTCTCTGCACAGTTTTGATGATTTTTTTAAAGTGGGCCAGATAAGATTTATTGATGAGCTTGCTGTGGGGGAAGGGGGGCACAGTGGAAGCCCACAGGAGGGAGTGCAAGGCAGGTCATTTGTCGGGGGCACCATGATTCGGGATGTATTTCACCCCGCAGCCATCAGGGATGAGGCGCTTCCGGGCCACCATGTCTTCAAATTCATCTGCACTGAATTTGGTGAAGCCCCACTTCTTGGAGATGTGGGTCTTCTGGCGGCCAGGGAACTTGAATTTGGCCCTGCATAGGCTTCGATCACATGTTCCTTGTTCTGCAGCTTGATGCAGATGGACACAGTGACCTGTCCAATGTGAACTCTCACCACTTTGTCCTGGGATTCCTCAAAGGCACCTGCATGCCTATCTGGGGCCTAGGCTGGGGGCAGCAGGAGGTCAAATATGGGAAAAACTACCAGAAGCAGTGTCTCCAAGTTCCCTTAGGGCAGCCCGTGCAAGCAACAGGCCACATACACTACCAAGCAGGTTGCTGTCTGCAGCCACTGCACCCTGGGCACCCACCAGCAGAGGAACCCAGTCAGCTTTCATTGACTGCAGCTGATGATTTTTTTTTAACTCCACAATGCATTCATTTCTTATTCGAAAAGTTAAATAAAAGCTTCAGCTGTGTGAAGGAAGGATGGTATGGATAAAGTCTCCTCTCTGTCCCTTACGCCCTCAGAGCAGCCTGGTTCCTACCACAATGAGGAATGAAACCCTGTGAGGTCATCTTGGTTTCAGAGCCTGCAGTGGGCATATCTGGGTCCCTGAAGGTTCTAGAACTTACTCGGGCCTGCCCAGTGAGGTCAAAGGAGACTCTAGAACAGGAAGTCTGGAGCTAGGGTAAAATCTCTGATTGCTGAAGTGAGGAAGCAGGTGCCCAAGGTTGGGCTGCCTCCTCAAGACAGCCCAAGGGGGCCACCGTAGCTGCACTGTAGCCAGGCCAAGAGGGCGCCCAAGGCCAGCAGCCTGAATGGCCAGACCATGAGGCACTTGCCAACCATTTCTAACTGCTCTATCCCTGGTCACCCCCTCCACTGGTGGGAGCTGAGAGGTTTCAGGCAGAATTACTAAAGTGAGCGGAATTGGAGGCCTGGAATAGGAACTGGCCTCTGGAGCCGGAAACAGCTGCCCCTAGGCCTGGGCCTCAGCATCTTGACTGGCCGATTAGAGAAGTGAGGCTGAGGCCAGCATGCCAGAGTCCATTTTTTAATTTCCCTAGGGATCATTCCAGACTACAAGCAGCAGCCTCATTTATTTCTTCATGAGGGCTTTTATCGCCCCATGGCTGGAGGAGCGTGCAGAGCAGCCCCTGCTGTGCCCTGGCAATGCTGACAGGCCTGGGAGTGGCTGCCAGGGACTGCAAACCACCCTGGGCCTGGGTGGACAGGGCCTCTTAGCCACCAAATGCTCTGTTTACTCAATCTGAGTCATTTTGTCTGTCCATTATCACGGAGCATCTAATATGATCTCAGCACAAGCCCAGGCCGCCCCTGGGGTCTCCAAAGCCCCAAGTTTTTTCTTGTCTTCAAGGACCCTCCATACAACACAGCAAATGACAGAAAGGCTCTTGTACTATTCACTGATTACTTGGTTTTTCGTTCATTTCTTCATTTATTTGAGACAAGGTCTTGCTCCGTAGCCCACACTGGCCTGGAACTCACTGCCGTCCTCTTACCTCCAGCCTCCCAAGTGCTGGAGTGACAGCCTTGCGCCACTGTGCCTGGATACTAATTGCTTTTTTCAGCTGCGTTTTATTTACAAGAATGCTGCCGCCTCCTCGAAGCTATGGATCTCTCTTGTACTTCTTGATGTTCTCAGAGCTCCCGGCACAGCCTAGAACACAAAGCAAGTCTTGCAATAAATGCTCTCTGGTCACTTGCCAATTTCTAAGCTAAAAATAAAGATGCATTAGAATGAGGTCAGACCCAAGGTTGTTGCCTCCAACTCTCAGGAACACTCACCATAAAAGCCAGTCTAAGCAAGGCATGGCGGGGCACACCTGTCATCCCAGCAGTCCAGGCAGCTGAGGGAGGAGGATCTCAAATTCAAGCCCAGTCTGGGCAACTTATGACTTAGGGAGGCCCTGTCTTAAAAGAAAAAAATTAAAGGACTAGGAATGTAGCTTAGTACACAGGCCCCGGATTCAATCCCCAGTACCACACACATACTCAAAGCAAGCCAGTCCATAAAGCAGCTTCAAGGTCCTATAAAGCTCTCCTCAACCCTGACGCCACCACTGTCACCCTCCAACGACAATACTCACCTTCCTCTTCCTCCACCAGGGAGGCTCACAGTCCCCCTCAGACCCCTGGCACTCACAGGCACACACCCCCCCCCTTGTCATGTCTTGGCTCAAAGACCACCCTGGCCTCTCATTCAGCCTTCCTCTGCACCTGCTAAAAATCGCTCCCCAGCCTCCCATCCCCATCCCTCTGTCTTTGTTTATTTTTCCCACATCACGCATCACTACCTTACAATGCTACACTTCTCCTGTGTACTTTTCACCTGTCTCCTCTCATGAGAAGCTGTTTCCCAAGAGCAGAGCTTTTGGACTTTTGTCCAGTACTGCACCACTGTGTATACAGCACTACCTGGTACATAGTAGGTGCTTAATAAATGTGTGCTCCATACGTAACGTCCTGAGTAATTGTGCTGTGGCTCTTGCTCCAAGTTACTCCAACTAAAATGGCATAGATTATGCATTGTTTATTCCTATGGATAAAAAACACTTTTGTCCATTTCGCTATAGTTTCATAGGTGTAGTTTCATTTATTTTAGTCTTATAGAATACCATAGTTGATAAATAGAGCAGAAATTATAATGATCTTCTTTTCACAGAGGGGAAAACTAAGACTCAGAGAAAAGAGATTGTTCCAGAAATTTCTACTGGACTCTGGCATCTAGATTTCTGCAGGACTTTTCTTAAGTGCAGGAAGAAGGGTTGGAGGTAGAGGGCCAGGGATTTAGCTCAGTGGTTCCAGGGCCTGCCTTGCAAGCGCAACGTCCTGAGTTCGATCCCCGGTACCAAAAAAAAGAGAAATGAAAAGTGGGAAGGCTTCCCTTCCCCATCACATAGGTCACACTGACACCCCCATAGGAAAAGTCAAATTGGCAAGAAAAAAGCACAACTGATGGATTGAATCAAAGTTTTACATGACTTGGGATCCTGTAGAAATAAAGGTCTAAAGACTCTAGAAAAACTATTTTTATGCTTGGTTTTGTTGACCTAGGATAAAATAAACCCAATCAAGAACAAAGAAAGTTACATTTATTTGGGGCTAATTAGGATTGCAATCCAGGAAAACACAGATTGGAGCAGTCTTGAAAATGTGCTCCAGCTGGGTGTGGTGACACCGGCCTGTGATCCCAGCACTCCAGGGGACTGAGGCAAGAGGATCACAATTTAGCCACTGAGTGAGAGCCTATCTAGAAATAAAAGAAACGGTTGAAGATGTAGCTCAGTGTGAAGGCCCTGGGCTCAATTCCCAGTACTTCCACAGCAACAACAACCAAAAAAAAAAAGAAAGAAAGAAAGGAAAAAAAAGAAAGAAGGAAGGGAAGGAGGGAAAAATAGAGGCTGTATTTATAGTTCTAAACTGCAAGGGGAATAATTCGGGAATTATGATTGATGCTAGCAGCAGGAATTGGGGACAGGTAGTTGGGGGAAGGGGTTCATTGTACCAAAAGTCAGCAGGGGTTGACAATGGCTCAAAAGTCAACTGGAATCAGGGGGTGTGCTGTCAGCAGCCCAGTTCAAAGGTGCCCCCGCAGACATGTCTGACACATGATTAATAACGGCCCCCTGACTCTAAGTGCCCAGAACCAACCCTACTCCATTTTGATTTTTTTTCCGTGACAGTTTCAGTGAATAATGGACAGCCTTGTAGAAAGGTGAGTGGACAGGAGGGTGCTGCCTAAAGGTAAGAGCCTTCTGGGGAAGAGCAGGCCTGCCTGCCTGTTCAGATCCTTCTGGGCCTCTATGGGCAGCCTTCCTTCCTCCTGGGAATGAATCAGATTCCCTTTGGGGATGGACCTTACAATCTGCCATCACACAAGGTAGGTCAGGGGATTTCTCTTTGCACAGAAAGGCAGCAGGAAGACTAGGGTCACACTTCTACGTTTTCACGGCTGCACTGAAGAAAAGAGATTCTAGTTTCTGTGGCTCCCCTTGTGGGAAAAGAGAGCCCAAAAAAGAAGGGCAGGAGGTCAGGAAGCAACTGCTTCAGTGTTCCAGCTCCAAGTGCCCTCTCTGCTTTGGGGTACATTTTTCTGAGCTTCAACCTTTTCCTCAGCACCTTGGGACTGATCGTGAGCCCCTCTTTCTCTTCTGTCCTATGGATTCTTCCTGACCAGTCCTACTTTGCTTCAAGTAGAAATATTCATATTTTCCCTTCCTTTTCCTGCCTTCCAGAGAGCTGCTCATTTCCCCTCACACCTTACTCCACCCGCCAAGCCCGGAAGAACCCACTGCCATTGCCTCTTGGCAGAAAATCGGTTGCCCCGGGCTGCATTCTAAAAGTGGGCCTGTGTTCTCGAGGCCCTGTCACACTGCAAAGGACAGAAACAGGTCCAATGGGAATTTATTGTCATGATTCCGTAGAGTTAATGAAGACAGGGACTGGGCCCTCACTCTGGGGCCTGGAACTCGGGCTCCTGACATCTCCCAGACCTGCCTGGCTACCTCGGGGTCCCCTCCTTCACTCAGCACCCCTGACCCGCACTGGCACCGCAGAGCAACTCGCCCCACCTCTGCGGCCCACACCCCTACACCGGCCCTGTTTCTTTTGGCTTGGTGGCTATTCTGGGTCTCCCCCTCCTCTGCTAACCCAACGCTTTCCTCTCTAGGTCCCTGGTCTCCCTGAAAGGACACCCTAGTTCAAGAAGGGTAGATCTAGAAAGGTCTCCACACGAAGAGTTGCAAAGTCCGGGGAAGAAATTTGGGGGGCATTTCCGGGCGCGACAGAGAGCTTGGGTGGGCAAGCTCAGGGCTGGTGGTCTATCACGCGCACACGTGCACACACGCGCTCACACGCGGGGTGGGGGCACTATTGCCTGATGTGGTGCAGCATCGCCTGCTTCTCTTCGATCTCTGCGATACCCTGTCTTGCACAGACGTGAGGAGAGCGA